GGGGTGGGGGTGGGGGCTCTTGAACTCTTGCCTCTTGAGAAGATCCTGTCCCAGGGAAGAGTCAGGTTCCCTGGCTGAGCTAGCATCTGCAAGGGCAGCAGTAGTGGGTGGAGGCTCCTTTCTTTCTCCTGGTTATTAGAAGAAACAGGACCCTTAAACTGCAGGAAATTGCTTTCAACATGAAAACAAACATAGGGTACTTGTGGCTGAAGTTAGTGTTGAATATGCAATAAGTGCTCCTGGGGACTGAATGGAGGTGGAAGTGCCCGGATTTACTTCTTCCCTGGTTGTGATGCTGAGGAGAGGGGGTGATGCTGGTGATTTCAAATCCTTCCTTTCCTGGTTTCCCTTCCCTGGTTGGAGGGCAGCAGTCCTGAGGGAGGAAGTGCAGACTGGACCAGGAGGTGTTTTCATCATGATTTGTTTTCCCCTGAATATTACTTGAGCACTTGTGACCTTCCAAGACTGTGTGTGAGTGACACATCTAGGAGGATGGGACAGGGAATGTGACAAGTTATGGGAGCCAGTCCTTGCCCTCCATCCTAATGGTGGAGATAACTAAGAAGATCCTGCTTATAGCCTTTGCATTTGGTAGTCTCCTCCCTGAACAGTCTTCTCTAGACATATGTAGTACTCATCTTCCTCAGGTATCAGTTCTAATATTACTTCCTGAAAAAATATTCCTTCCTTCACTATCTTCTCTAACATGGGGACCCTCTGCTGTCACTTATGCTGCTTCTCCTTTCTTCATGACACTACTTGATGTTATGTATCTATGATTTTAAAATTGTTATCTCCCATTAAAACCCAAGAGTCTCTTCTATGTCATTCGTTGCTTGTATCCTCAATGTTTAAAGCAGAGTCTGGCCTGTAGTTGGCATTCTGTCAATAAGTATTGAATGGTGAATAGATTATCTCCATTGATACTGTTCACTGAGATAGATGGTATTAGAATCTGCATTCACACATGAGAAGACTGAAGCTCCAAGAAGCTGAGACATTTGCTTCTGGATGGAGGGCAGAGCTGGGATTTGGTTCTTCATCTGTTGTCATCCTCTTACACTAAATATCCTTATTTGCTTCTATTTTGCACTCATTCTCAGGAGGACTGTCCCTTATGATCACAGAGATGGAATGTGGCAGCTTCAGAGGAAAAAGAGAGAACCCCATTTCCTGATAATTCTAGTAAAATTCTCAGGCAAGACTCTTATTGGTGGGGCTTGGGTCACATATTCCCATGCTCTGGCCTGAGTTTTGTGATCACCCTTGGAGATAAGGTGGGATCAGGAATTACCTCTGTGAACCCCATGGATTAAAGGCAGGGAAGGGAGTTCCCTGAAGGCAGCTGGAGGTTACTATAAGAAGAGAAGGGCTATGGCTGATGGATACGGTCAAGTTTCTCATCCACATCCTCTAACCATCCTCCTTCCCCTCTTCCTCCTGCCTTTGCCATTTTATTCTGTCAGTCAGAATTGAGTCAGAAATTCAGGTCACTCACTGCTTCTTGGGAGAGGAGCCAGATGATGCTGCATCTCTGTCCTAAAGTTGGAACAGTGCTCAAAACCACCATTGACCGGAAAGGACCTTAGACCTTGATCTTTAAAAAAAGGGATTTTCTGTTTGTGACAAGAACAGTGTTGCACAGGACCAGAACTATGCCAAAGTCAGGCTTGATGCGGGAGGATAAAAGAAGTAAGCGTGGAGTCATCTAAGTCCCCAGTTCTGCTCACCCCAGACGTCTTTACTTCCCCTTTGCCAGCTTCATACTGAGGTTTGTGGAGACCAGAGCTGGAACAACTGGTCTATGTTCCTAAGTAGAAGAGCTCAACCCAAATCACTGAACTCCTGTGCTCTCTGATGTTTGCAGTGAGTCATCTGGTCAACATTTTTTGGGTACTTCAGCCTGTGATAATTCAAAATGATAACCATCAGAGCAGCCAACATTTATGTAGCTTTGGCTTTGTACTAAGTGCCTTACAAGTAGTTAAGCTCATTTAATTTTCCTAACAGTCCCGGGAGGGAGGCTCTGATATGATTCCCTTTTTATAGTTGAGGAAAATGACTTAGAAGTTCAGTGATGGACCCAAGGCTACAGAGTAAGCTGGGGTCTGAACTCAGAGATGTCCGTCTCCCAGTTTAGATATGGGTAACTCACTGGTTTCAAAACACCTTTAGAGTTCCAGGGGATCCTGTCTCCCCAGGCCTTGGTATCCTCCAAGAGTGTGTTTGTATGAACAATGGTGTTGACATTCCCGCCACAGAACCCCACATGTAAACAGTTTGATATCCTGTTTAATTAAGGGGTATTTTAACAATCACTATTCTAGGCAATCCATCAGTCACAGTTAATGGGCCTGCTTAGTTATTTATGCAGCATGTTTTCCTTCCCACCTCTTCTATTTTACCTCTTTTCTTTCTTCCTCCTGCCACTCCACCCCTAAATCTAACTCACCAGAAAACCGGAAAGGGGGTGTGGTTGAGGAGTGATTCAGAGCTCTCTAGAAGTCTCTTAGAGCCGATAAATCTTCTAGGGAATACAGGGTGTGGTCTGGATAAAAGCTTGGCTCTTGCTGTGAGTTAAGTCCCATCCCAGGAGCCGGGGCACAGCAAAATCTGGTCACAGCCTGTATTTTCCTGGGGTAAGAGCTCTCAGGACTCCCTGGAAATTTACAAATACGATTACAGATGATTTTATTATTGGCAGGAAGAGTGTTACCTACCTTGTTCAGGCAGCACATCAAAGGCACAGAAGATAGATCACAACCTGCTGGTGGGGTAGCTGGGAGACTCTCACCCAGCTTCCCCAGGGCTTCCCTATTTTAGTCTTCAAACTGAATTGGGTTCTATATGCCTTCAAGAGACCTAGGCTCCAGTTGAATCAATTTGCACTGAACGGGATTCTAGGCTCTGTCTCTGAACCACCTGTGGGAGCCGGGAGTGGGCAAATCTCCCAACCTCTTTCATCCTCTCTTTTAGTCAGCTTATTTGCTCCTGTGAACAACAGATCTGACAAAAACAAATTTAAGGAGGAAAAGCTTAATTGGGGGCTCACGTTTCAGAGGTCTCAGTCTATAGATGGCCAACTCCATTCCTTGGAACCTGAGGTGAGACAGAACATCATGGTACAAGTGTGTAGTGGAGGAAAACCAGGAAGTGAAGAGAGAGAAAGAGACTTCCTGTAACTACAGACAAAATATATACCCCAAAGCCATGTCCCAGTGACCCACCTCCTTCAACCACACCCCACCTGCCTACAGTTGCCAAAAGCCTTTGGGGGGCACCTCATATCTAAACCATAACGTTCTCCATCTTAACAAAAAAGAATGAACTGGATAATTAATGTCTATGGCCATCCCATGATTCCAAGTGGGTCAACCCAGGAATACCCCAATGGCCAGTGGTTCCTCTCCTCTGCTAAAATGTGTGCCGTCAGGTTGGCTCTAGGGGTTTGAACAGTGTCCTAGGCTGCCCTGACTTAGACTCCCCCATGTGACTCTATTTCACATCTGAGGAGAGGATCCAGAGGAGGCGGTGTTGTTCAAGGAGATGATGGGAGTCCACCGTTCTTCATGCTTTGAAAGTTCCTTGGCTTCATTCAAATGCCAGCCTTCCCGGAGCTGGATGTTTATTTGTAGTCAGAAGTGCTTTCCAATGCTGATTCTTGTCATTAGTGATGGGGTGAAAAGCAAAGAGAAGAATAGCAGGGAGACTGTTGGTATGGTGGCTGCTCCACTCACACACCATGTCATGCACACCCCGATGTCTGTGATGAAGAATGGTCACTGGGATCACGGGAAGGAGGGAATTGTAAATGTCTTGGTATCTTGTGTCTTCAGTTCTATGTGGTGAATGTGTTGCAACTTGTCCCTAACACTTATGCCTCTTTTCCTTATTTCCTTAAGGGAGTGGTTTATTCATTTTTCTCTCTGCTGGGAACCTTGCTTGACTTCGCATCCAGTGTGTGGTACCTGAAGAGGAAGAGGATTTGCTTGGGTGTCCGTGTGCAGAAATCAACCAGAATATTTTAACCAATATTCTTGCAGGATTCCAGTCTGCTTGGCTCATTGGAGCCCTATCTGATTCCAGGATGATGTCTTTCCGGACAGATGGGAAGTTGACCTCTCTTGCTACATGCACAGTGAAAGGGGAGCTCAGCTCCTTGGCTTGCATGGGTAGTTTTTGGGTGAAGGTAGAACTAAGGGCTCAGAAGCTGAGCACTGTTGATGGCTTGCATGAACTTGATAGTCATGCAAGGGCATATTGCATTGTGTGTGTGTGTGCTGCTAACATTCTTCTTCCTTTCTCTCCCCTTCTTCCCCTTCTATCTCCTCTCCCTTCCCCTCCCTTTGAAAATGCTGCCACAGATGTCAGTCAAGGTCCAGGTGAGTCTTTGTGTTTGCACTGCTGCCTTGAGAATCTCCCCTCTACTAGATTGTGCATGGTTTGACTCTGACCCCTCTTTTCTAGGGATAAAAATCTGAGCATATTGTGTTTTCAATGATATAAGTTTAAAAGAAGAAATGCCTCCAATTGATGAACTTGTATTGGTTTAGAGGAACCATTTAAAACCAAAGGAATAAGGTTCCCTGACTTATATGATTACTTATGATTTCTGGGTGAATCAAAGAACTGGGAAATTAGCATTTAAAAAGTGTTTAGATATGTGTTCTTTGATTTAATGAACATTTTGCCTTATGTTCTATGAATCTGCTTCTATAGCTTCATGTGGTTGAAGGTTGAAGATTCAATACATTTAGCATGGAAAATATGATATGGGTAAATGAAGGTTTCTTCCTTTTATTCTAAGTAATGTCTTTTTTTCCTTACAATTAAGTTAGTAATATTTATTTTCCTGGCTATATAAGTAATACATGCTCACTGTAAAAAAAAATGATAAAATGTTTTTTAATCAATAGAAAAATGAAAGAATGACCTTTATGATAATTGTGTGCCTCTCTATTTAAAATGCACAGTCATCCAGAGTCCCAATTTTAAGTACTGTGTGTGAGCGTACTTTTTAATATGTGTGTATACATTCGCATGCATAGAATCGTGAGATGATGCAAACGTTTATAGGAAATAGGTGTCTGACAACTTGGAATACATTGAAGACTGTTCTAAACTGGCTAGAACTTTTAAGAATAGGAAGGGGGCATTATATGTTGTCACATTTTCTTATTTATTCCATTTAACATTTAATCCTCATAGTATCAATTTAAGATAGGTATCATTATATTTATTTTAATATGCAGAAAATTAAATTTAGGGCCCAACTGTTCAAGCAGTTTTGCCCAAGGTCATAGTTTATCTGAGGTATCGTTGACCTTGGAATTAGGGATTTTTTTCCCTCTAGAACTCATGCACTGGATGGTACTTGCTGGCCTATCACTGAACATTAGCAACAATTGAAGGTCTTGTGGGTATTTCCTAATTGTAATGTTGTGTATTTATTTATTTTTTTGCATTGAGGTGATGTGACATTTTCTACATCCCTCTTTTAGTTATTAATTGTTATCCCTACCGTATAACAGAGGGGTTTCATATCTCTTTTTCTGCTGCCCTCCATCTTTAAAAATAATTGAAGTTGAACATAGGCACAGAATACCATTTCCTAGGACATACCATCAAATTCATTCTTTCTACTTTATAATATTTTAGTTACTCAAAATAGTTGTGTACCAGACATTGAGGACAGAGCAATGAACAAAAGACACTTCCTGCCTGCATGAACCTTGTATTCTAGACAGAGGCAGACAGTGAACATACATACATACATGCATTTATTCACATACTTATACACATTAGACGTAAAATTGTACATTGAACCAGGTGGTGAGTAATAAGGGCTACAGAGAAAAATGGAGCAGAGTAAAGGGGAAGTCCCTATTTTTTTTCAGAGGGACTTCTCTGATAAGAGAATATTTTCCCCGGGGTACTTCAAGGAGATGTAGGAGTAAACCCAATCCTTCAAATTTTGTCTGTCAAAGTGCCTCTCACCTTACCCTCTGTATTCCTGATTCATGACAGAGATGTCACCAGGGATGAGCACTTGGGCTGTGCATGTGGTACCTGCATAGGTTCTCCCTGCTGAGGAGTAGCAGGGGCTAAAATCCAGCCTGCCTTCATTAGAGCCTCAATATAAGATAGGTATCATCTGCCTCTGGCCTGGCCTGTACCCCTGAAGGTTCCTTAGAATAGAGGGGGGAGATTTTTGCCATATTGGTCCCAGATGGAAGAGAATGGTGAGGAGGCTCAGAGGCCTTATGGGTAGAAGGGGGTGACCCTTCCTGGGACAACAGCAACAGTGGTCCCCTCCTGCTAGTGACTACCCATCCCCCAGGTCATGGTACCATTCCTTTTTCTTGGCTGTTGTCTCATTTTATTGTCTTACAACACTCTGAGGTTTGTTGCCTGAACTCCACTGCTGAGGAGATTGAGGCCCAGGGAGGTCAAGCCATGTGCTACAGCCACCCAGCCCTTGAGCGGCAGGACTGAAAGGGGATTCTAGCCAAATCCCAGATCATGTGCCCTTCATTCTGCCCTTGAAGTGCCTAGGGCTGATTGTCAAACCTGTCACTCCTCTATCCTCTTGATTTTTTTATGATTTCTAAGCCTGGTGATTCACATGCTTTCCTTGTGGCCTGGGGCATGGCGGGAGGTGGCCTGCACTGGCCAGGCCCTGGCTGGGGTCGGTGGGCAGCCTCCAGTCTCTCTGAGCCCCTGGCCAGGCAATCCAGAGCCAGCTGGGCCGTGTCTCTGACACAAGAGGCCTTTAGAGGTTCTTTGATTTTTTTTTCCCCTTCCCCTCAGGAAGACAAATTGGGGATTTTATGAGCTAATGTAACTGTTTACCCAGGGGTTACTGGAAGACTATAAAGGGACAATTGATTAGTTGATGAATTTGACATGCTGAGGAGATGGTTAGAAGTAACCCACTGGAAGATGCAGGCTGTGGTCCCCTCCTGCTAGTGAATGGACCAGGATCTCAGATCCATGGGTCTGCAAACCTGTGTGCCTGTCATCCTAAACCCTGCCAATATCATGGGGGGTGCTGTGGTCCAGGCTCCTGTCTAACCTGTGTCTGCATTCCTATCTCGTCACAAGGTTCATGGCACAGAGTAGAACCTCAGAGATCTTGATGGAACCGAAATAGTGGCCATAAGCACAAGGGACATTGTGAATCTGTAGGGTCCCAAGACATGTGGGAGTTTAAAGGATATCCTGTCCAAAGAGTACAGACTTTCAGAGAGGCAAACTGAGGCCCAAAGAAGAGAAGGGACATTGCCAAGGCCAAGTAACCCCACTTGGGGCCTGGAAGGCACCCCGGGTAGATGCCATGTTTCATGCTCGTGCTCCTTGGGATTTGTCATTTGTCTTCCTGGGATGTGTGGGGAAGGGGTGAGGAGTCCCATCCCTGCCTTGCCCTCCACCCTCTCCTAACTTCTGCATGTTCCAGAACTGTTAGGGGAAGGGAAGCCTAGTGGAGGGATCCAGGAGGCAGGCCCCCCCCACGGGCCTGTGGGGGGGAGACCCTGTTCTCCCCTTCTCTGGTATTCTCCCTCCTGCCAGGGGCCATTTGTGGTCTCCCTAGCAGCCTCCTCACAGTGGATAATGTCTCAAGCTCTGCCCGCCGATTAGAACTGGAATTTAAATGAATAACTGTGACCTTGTGGAAGTGCCCTAGTTATGCAGAGGCCCAACAAGGAAACAGGCCTCTCTTTGGTCCATCAGAGCCCTGGCAGGCACAGGAGGAGGGGCTCCTGTTTTAGGAGCCACAGAGGAGGCCTCTGTAGCCAGAAGGAACTGATGCCTTTGCCTTTCTCCACCTGCTCTTGATTTCTGCCCTCACTGTCTTTTCCTCTTCAGTGGAAGCCATCCCAGGACTGTCCTAGGGCAGGGGACCTGGTAATCTGCCCTGAACCCTGCACTGTTTCCAGAGAGTTGCTCAGTTCAGTCCCAGAGAGAGAGAGAGAGAGAGAGAGAGAGAGAGAAAGAGACACTGTTCTGTGCCTGAAGTCAGAAGGCAGCACCTAAGGAATCCAGCTTGTGTCTGTGGACACAAAGAGAAGGCTGCAGAAGACTGTTGACCAGGGGACCAGCAGCATCAGCATCACTGGGAGCTTGTTAGAAAAGCAGAAGCTCAAGCCCTACCTAGACCTGCTGAAACAGAATGGGCATTTGATCAAGAGCCCCAAGTGTCAGCACATTAATGTTGGAAACACACTGGTGTCCCTCTTCCCCTGGGGGGCCTCCAAGTGTGTCTTCACCTAGGAAGTTGCAGTTCTACTTGCTAAAGCCCTATCCTCATCTCTTGTGCTGGGCACAGCATGAGACACCTACTTGATCTTGCTGACTGGAGTGGGAGGGAGAATGAGATTAGAGAAGGGGAACAATGAAAGGTTACTGGCCACTCAGTCCTTGCAGGTTGCTGTTGAGACACTTTCTGTATAATAGTTTACATCCTGTGAGGCAAGAGAGCACAGGAGTGAGTAAATTATGACCGAAGGGCCAAACCCAGCCCACTGCCTGCTTTTGCAGGTTTGTGAGCTAAGAATTTTTTTTTTTAACATTTTTAAGTGGTTGCAAACAATAGAGCAATGGGTAATACCAAAACTGCATCAAGTTCGGTTTCCACATTCGTAAAGTTTTTGGTGGAACACAACCAGGCTCAGTCCTTTGTCTATTGTCTGTAGCAGCTTCTGAGCCACAAAGTCTGAGTTGGGTAGTTGCAATAGAGACTTCACAGCCTGAAAAGTCTAGAATAATTACCTGTAAGGGAAAAAAATTGCCACCCCTGGGTTAGAGTGAGGTGCTGGGGTTGACATCTTGTCTCTGCCACAGTGATAGGACCTGATCAAGTGACTTGGTGGGTCCTACTTTCTGTATCTATAAGATAGGGACAATGAGAGAGTGCCTCTGACTGTCTTGAGGATTAAATGAACTCTTGCACATAGTCCTGTTAACTGTGCCTGGCATAGAGTAAGCCACGTATATTTAGCTTTTATTATTAGTCATCTCTTTGGAATCTTTGAATCTTTCAATGTGTGTTTCTCTTTTATAGATGAAGACATTTGTTTTTTTTTTAAGATGTCCCCCTCATTCTTTGTGTTTTTGTCTCCCTAATTGTCCAGTGGCATGTCCAGTTCTATGACGCAGCACCTCTCTAAACACATCTGTTGTTCTCTCCTTTTTCCACACTCTCTCCCATGGGTCCTGACCTTTAGGTTTCCAGTGAGTGAATACTTCCTCATGCTGAAATCCCCACTGTGCTCTCAAGTGGAGCCTTGGAATTCCAGTAAGAGGGGACAGAGACCAATATCTACAGTATACTCATCCTATGCCAGGTGGAGAATCCTGGGCTCCAGGAAGTTGCATCTTTTTG